TGCCGCCATTGCTCTTGCCTCCCTCATCATGTCCCTCTGTAGGAATACTTTTTTTAATTCCCCCACATATTGCAGTTGACTCTTTTTTCTTAGAATCTTCTCCTTTGTGTTCTCGTTATCCAAACACTATCTTTAACACACAGCCTCAATCTTTGTTGTACCAGACTAGCCTGAAAACCTTCTCAATGCTATGCTCAGCCTCTTCCATCTCTAGTACCTTCAGTATATCATTCACAGCTGCTCTGTCCTTATCGCTCCATTCTATCCTATTGGAGCCTTCCTGCTCTTTTATACCCATAGCTACCACTGATCTTTTTCTTTCCAGCAGCTGACTAGTAGAGCATGCCGCTTCCTGAGATGGCTGCTTTTAATGCTACCTGCATCACTGTGGACATTACTTCAGAGTTTTTTTTATCATTTCTGCAAAGGTTGCTTTTATAGTGGCGTTCTCCTCCAATATACTATTTCCAACTTCTCCTAGGATGATTATCTGAGTCTCAACCTCAGTATTGCTCTCCTTGAGAGTTTTAATCTCCTCCTTTGCTGCTGTCAGCTCGCTTTCAGGTTGCTTATTTCATTCTTCATTTCCTGCATCCCACTCCTGATATCCTCTAAAAACTGAGTGAACATTTTTTTCATTTGGATACCTTGACTTTTCCCTGTTCCCCTTTTACTTCTAGCTATCATGTTTGCCCCTGTTCTTGTTATGCCATGATAGGGTTTTCCAGGAGGGGAGCAGAGCTGGAGAGAGAGAGAGAGAGAGAGAGAGAGAGAGAGAGAGAGAGAGAGAGAGAGAGAGAGAGAGAGAGGGGGGGGGGGGGTGAGAGAGAGGGAGTAGAAAGGGGTGAGAGAGAGGAGTGGAAATAGTGGAGGATTATGGGAGTGGAAAGGAGGGGTTGTGAGTAGGAGGAGAGCGGGAAGGGAGTGGGAGAGTGCTAGGTCATGGGATGCTGGGTGGGGGATAGGGGGTATAGCTAGTCAACAGGGCCTAGAAAATGAGATTGATAGATAGCGAGATAGGAAGAGAGGGAGGAAGGAAGGCGGTACGGAGGGAGGGGGGGAATGGGGGAGGAAGAGGGTCAAGTCAGCCTCCTCACTTAGGCGCTAAGAGCGGTGTGGATCTGACCAGGAGAGAGGGAGAGAGAGAGGGGGGGGGGAAGAGAGAAAAAGAGAGAGAGGTGGGGGGCAAGCAAGAGAGAGAGAGAGAGAGAGAGAGAGAGAGAGAGAGAGAGAGAGAGAGAGAGAGAGAGAGAGAGAGAGAGAGAGAGAGAGAGAGAGAGAGAGAGAGAGAGTGAGAGAGAGAGAGAGAGAGAGAGAGAGAGAGAGAGTGAGTGAGAGAGAGAGAGGGAGGGAGAGAGGGGTGAGAGGGAGCTAGTGAGAGGGGAGATGAGAGGAGAGAAGGAAGAGTGTTAGCTGGAGGAGAGAGAGAAGGAGGGAAAGAGAGGAGTGGTGACCGTCGGTATAGTATGGTTTGTATGGTCACCCTTCGCCACGGTGTCAGATCCTGTTTGTGAGACGTGTGTGTGCGTGCTTACGTGCGTGCGTTGTGTGTACGTGTGTACTCACCTAATTGTGCTTGCAGGGGATGAGCTCTTGCTCTTCGGTCCCGCCTCTCAACTGTCAATCAACAGGTGTACAAGTAGCCTATTGGGCTATCATATCTACTCTTGAAGCTGTGTATGGAGTCAGCCTCCACCACATCACTTCCTAATGCATTCCATTTGTCAACCACACTGACACTAAAAAAGTTCTTTCTAATATATCTGTAGCTCATTTGGGCACTCAGTTTCCATCTGTGTCCCCTAATGCGTGTGCCCCTTGTGTCAAATAGCCTGTCTTTATCTACCCTATCAATTCTCTTGAGAATCTTGAATGTGGTGATCATGTCCCCCCTATGTCTTCTGTCTTCCAGCGAAGTGGGGTTTAATTCCCGTAGCCTCTCCTCGTAGCTCATTCCTTTCAGCTCGGGTACTAGTCTGGTGGCAAACCTTTGAACCTTTTGCAGTTTGGTCATATCCTTGAATAGATATGGACTCCATGCTGGGGCTGCATACTCCAGGATTGGCCTGACATATGTGGTATACAAAGTTCTGAATGGTTCCTTACACAAGTTTCTGAATGCCGTTCTTATGTTGGCCAGCCTGGCATATGCCGCTGGTGTTATCCTCTTGATATGGGCTGCGAGGGACAGGTCTGGCGTGATGTCAACCCCCAAGTCTTTTTCTCTCTCTGACTCATAAAGAATTTCCTCTCCCAGATGCTACCTAGTATCTGGCCTCCTGCTCCCTACGCTAATCTTCATCACATTACATTTGCATGGGTTAAACTCTAACAACCGTTTGTTCGACCATTCCTTCAGCTTGTCAACGTCTTCTTGAAGCCTTAAGCAGTACTCCTCTGTCTTAATCCTTCTCATAATTTTGGCATCGTCAGCAAACATTGAGAGAAATGAATCTATACTCTCCGGGAGATCATTTACATATATCAGAAACAAGATAGGACCGAGTACAGAGCCCTGTGGGTCACTGGTGACTTCACCCTAATCAGAGGTCTCACCCCTCACCGTAACTATCTGCTTCCTATTGCTAAGATACTCCCTTATCCACTGGAGCACCTTACCAGCAACACCTGCCTGTCTCTCCAGCTTATGTATCAGCCTCTTATGCGGTAATGTGTCAAAGGCTTTCCGACAATCCAAGAAAATGCAGTCCACCCAGCCTTCTCTTTCTTAGTCACCTGGTCGTAGAATTCTATTAAGCCAGTCAGGCAAGATTTACCCTCCCTGAATCCATGTTGGCGATTTGTCACGAAGTCCCTTCTCTCCAGATGTGTTAATGGGTTTTTTCTCACGATCTTCTCCATCACCTTGCATGGTATACAAGTCAAGGACACTGGCCTGTAGTTCAGTGCCTCTTACCTGTCCCCCCTTTTTGTATATTGGGACCACATTCGCCGTCTTCCATATTTCTGGTAGGTCTCCCGTCTCCAATGACCTACTATACACTAAAGAGAGTGGCAAGCAAAGTGCCTCTGCATATTCTTTCAGTACCCATGGTGAAATCCCGTCTGGACCAACAGTCTTTCTAACATCCAGTTCCAGTAGGTGTCTCATGAACTTCTCACTCGTAATTTCGAACGCTAACAAGGCCGCCTGGTTTACTTCCGTTTCTCCTAGCAAAGTGACCTCACCTTGTTCTATTGTGAAGACCTCCTTGAATCTCTTGTTGAGTTCTTCACTCACCTCTTTGTCATTCCCTGTATACCTATCCTCGCGTTTTCTAAGTTTCATTGCCTGTTCTTTCACTGTTGTTTTCCTTCTGATGTGACTGTGGAGTAGCTTTGGTTCAGTCTTGGCATTGTTTGCTATATCATTTTCATAATTTTTCTTTGCTTCTCTTTTCACCCTAACATACTCATTCCTGGTTCTCTGGTATCTCTCTTTGCTTTCTGGTGTTCTGTTATTCCGGAAGTTCCTCCACGCCCTTTTGTTCAGTCCCTTTGCTTCCATACATTCCCTATTATACCATGGATTCTTCTTTTGCTTCTCGAATTTTTCCCTTTGGGATGGGATGAACTGTTTAATGCCTCCTGACACTTTTGGGTGAAATAGTCCATCATATCTTGTACAGATTTATCTATGAGGTCTGTGTCCCAAGGTATTTCGTTCAGGAAACGTCTCATCTCCTCATATTTCCCCTTTCGGTATGCCAGCCGTTTGTTTCCTAGTTCTGTTTTTGAGGGAGATAATTCCTAGCTCTACCAGGTACTCCAATTTTAATACACTCACCTATTTGTGCTTGCGGGGGTTGAGCTCTGGCTCTTTGGTTCCGCCTCTCAACTGTCAATCAACTGGTGTACAGGTTCCTGAGCCTATTGGGCTCTATCATATCTAGACTTGAAACTGTGTATGGAGTCAGCCTCCACCACATCACTTCCTAATGCATTCCATTTGTCAACCACTCTGACACTTAAAAAATTCTTTCTAATATCTCTGTGTCTCATTTGGGCACTCAGTTTCCACCTGTGTCCCCTAGTACGTTTGCCCCTTGTTTTAAATAGCCCGTCCTTATCTACCCTGTCAATTCCAATTCCAACACACTGTGTGTGTTCGTGCGTGTGCGTGTGTGCGCGTACATGTTCGTGTGTGTGCGTGCGTGTACGTATGTGTACGTGCGTTTGTGTGTGTGCGTACTCACGTAATTGTGCTTGCGAGGGTTGAGCTTTGGCTCTTCGGTCCCGCCTCTCAACTGTCAATCAACTGGTGTACAGATTCCTGAGCCTATTGGGCTCTATCATATCTACATTTGAAACGCCTTTTTGTGTATGGAGTCAGCCTCCACCACATCACTTCCTAGTGCATTCCATTTATTAACTACTCTGACACTGAAAAAAAATATTTCTAATGTCTCTGTGAAGACGTTAGAAAGAAAATTTATTTAGAAAAGTTAGAAAAACTTTAGACAAAAATATTTCGTTAGAAAAAAAAATTAATCTGTGGCTCATCTGGGTACTAAGTTTCCACCTGTGTCCCCTTGTTCGTGTCGCACCCGTGCTGAAGAGTTTGTCCTTGTCCACCATGTCAATTCCCCTGAGAATTTTGTAGGTGGTTATCATGTCTCCCCTTACTCTTCTGTTTTCCAGGGAAGTGAGGTTCAGCTCCTTTAGCCTTTCCTCGTAGCTCATACCTCTACGTTCCGGGACGAGCCTGGTGGCATACCGCTGAAACTTATCTAACTTTGTCTTGTGTTTAACTAGGTATGGACTCCAGGCTGGAGCTGCATACTCCAGGATTGGTCTTACATAAGTGGTATACAGGGTTCTGAAAGATTCCTTACACAAGTTTCTGAAGGCAGTTATTATGTTGGCCAGTCTAGCATATGCCGCTGATGATATTCTTTTGATGTGGGCGTCTGGGGACAGGTTCGGTGTGATATCAACCCCCAGATCCTTCTCTCTATTTGACTCTTGCAGGATTTCACCTCCCAGATGATACCTTGTGTTCAGCCTCCTGCAACATCAAGAGCAGTGCTGGGTCCTGCAACATCAAGAGCAGTCCTGGGTCCTGCAACATCAAGAGCAGTGCTGGGTCCTGCAACATCAAGAGCAGTCCTGGGTCCTGCAACATCAAGAGCAGTCCTGGGTCCTGCAACATCAAGAGCAGTCCTGGGTCCTGCAACATCAAGAGCAGTCCTGGGTCCTGCAACATCAAGAGCAGTCCTGGGTCCTGCAACATCAAGAGCAGTCCTGGGTCCTGCAACATCAAGAGCAGTCCTGGGTCCTGCAACATCAAGAGCAGTGCTGGGTCCTGCAACATCAAGAGCAGTCCTGGGTCCTGCAACATCAAGAGCAGTCCTGGGTCCTGCAACATCAAGAGCAGTCCTGGGTCCTGCAACATCAAGAGCAGTCCTGGGTCCTGCAACATCAAGAGCAGTCCTGGGTCCTGCAACATCAAGAGCAGTCCTGGGTCCTGCAACATCAAGAGCAGTCCTGGGTCCTGCAACATCAAGAGCAGTGCTGGGTCCTGCAACATCAAGAGCAGTGCTGGGTCCTGCAACATCAAGAGCAGTGCTGGGTCCTGCAACATCAAGAGCAGTGCTGGGTCCTGCAACATCAAGAGCAGTGCTGGGTCCTGCAACATCAAGAGCAGTGCTGGGTCCTGCAACATCAAGAGCAGTGCTGGGTCCTGCAACATCAAGAGCAGTGCTGGGTCCTGCAACATCAAGAGCAGTGCTGGGTCCTGCAACATCAAGAGCAGTCCTGGGTCCTGCAACATCAAGAGCAGTGCTGGGTCCTGCAACATCAAGAGCAGTGCTGGGTCCTGCAACATCAAGAGCAGTGCTGGGTCCTGCAACATCAAGAGCAGTGCTGGGTCCTGCAACATCAAGAGCAGTGCTGGGTCCTGCAACATCAAGAGGGAGAACGTCTGGAGTTGCAGGTCTACGATCTTGAGTGGCAGGTGCCGCAGGAGGTGTGGCAGGTGCCGCAGGAGGTGTGGCAGGTGCCACAGGAGGTGTGGCAGGTGCCACAGGAGGTGTGGTAGGTGCCACAGGAGGTGTGGCAGGTGCCACAGGTGGTGTGGCAGGTGCCACAGGTGGTGTGGCAGGTGGCACAGGAGGTGTGGCAGGTGCCGCAGGAGGTGTGGCAGGTGCCGCAGGAGGTGTGGCTGGTGCCGCAGGAGGTGTGGCAGGTGCCGCAGGAGGTGTGGCAGGTGCCGCAGGTGGTGTGGCTGGTGCCGCAGGAGGTGTGGCTGGTGCCGCAGGAGGTGTGGCAGGTGCCACAGGAGGTGTGGCTGGTGCCGCAGGAGGTGTGGCAGGTGCCACAGGTGGTGTGGCTGGTGCCGCAGGAGGTGTGGCAGGTGCCGCAGGAGGTGTGGCAGGTGCCACAGGTGGTGTGGCTGGTGCCGCAGGAGGTGTGGCTGGTGCCGCAGGAGGTGTGGCTGGTGCCGCAGGAGGTGTGGCAGGTGCCGCAGGAGGTGTGGCAGGTGCCGCAGGAGGTGTGGCAGGTGCCGCAGGTGTGGCAGGCGCCGCAGGAGGTGTGGCAGGTGCCGCAGGAGGTGTGGCAGGTGCCGCAGGAGGTGTTGCAGGTGCCACAGGAGGTGTGGCAAGTGCCGCAGGTGTGGCAGGTGCCGCAGGAGGTGTGGCAGGTGCCGCAGGAGGTGTGGCAGGTGCCGCAGGAGGTGTGGCAGGTGCCGCAGGTGTGGCAGGTGCCGCAGGAGGTGTGGCAGGTGCCGCAGGAGGTGTGGCAGGTGCCGCAGGTGTGGCAGGTGCCGCAGGAGGTGTGGCAGGTGCCGCAGGAGGTGTGGCAGGTGCCGCAGGTGTGGCAGGTGCCGCAGGAGGTGTGGCAGGTGCCGCAGGAGGTGTGGCAGGTGCCGCAGGAGGTGTGGCAAGTGCCTCAGGTGTGGCAGGTGCCGCAGGAGGTGTGGCAGGTGCCGCAGGAGGTGTGGCAGGTGCCGCAGGTGTGGCAGGTGCCGCAGGAGGTGTGGCAGGTGCCGCAGGAGGTGTGGCAGGTGCCGCAGGAGGTGTGGCAGGTGCCGCAGGAGGTGTGGCAGGTGCCGCAGGAGGTGTGGCAGGTGCCGCAGGTGTGGCAGGTGCCGCAGGAGGTGTGGCAGGTGCCGCAGGAGGTGTGGCAGGTGCCGCAGGAGGTGTGGCAGGTGCCGCAGGAGGTGTGGCAGGTGCCGCAGGAGGTGTGGCAGGTGCCACAGGAGGTGTGGCTGCCTGGGAGTGTGAGGGAGTGAGGCGAGGTAGTGTGTGTTGTGGGGCGGGAGGCTGCGACACACTCCTCACAGCAAGCCCTCCTCTATCTTCACTCAAAAGAACCCTGTTTTGCCTCATTGCGGCTTTACGCTCCTTCTTTACTTGGCTTGCGCATAGAGCTCTTGTCTTTAGAGCCTTCTTCTTGTCCGATACTCTAACCATTGTGCAGTAGATACGACAAAATACGATCTACAGGGCGATCTGTGAGAGCGCGTCAGGGATACGACCACCTGCACAGACACAGAGGGGGTGATGGAGTCAGGTAATTGGCTTATCCTCCCTCCCTCCCTCCATCTCACACAAGACTGTTGCCAATGAGTGAATTTATAATTTGTATATGCATAACAAGATATTTTCCACTCTATTACGAAATACTAGACGCTTACAATGTATGACACATCACCCTACGGCGCACCCAAGCCGCAAGGACCAGATTTGGGACAATTGTGGCTAGAAAATTCACTCTAATTACGTTATTTATTATCATAACATTAAACGGTTTGCACCACAATGTTGCCAGAACGCTGTAGTATTTTTAGAAATTTTTCAGAAAAAATCGTATTTGGGCGATTTTTTTCATCTAATGCCCCCTAAGTACTCCCTTATCCACTGAAGCACCTTTCCTTTTACTCCTGCCTGTTGCTCCAACTTTTTTAACAGTTTTTATGGGGTACTGTGTCAGTCTTTCTGGCAGTCCAGGAAAATGCAGTCGGCCCACCCTTCTCTTTCCTGCCTAGTTTTTGTTGCCTGGTCATAAAATTCTATTAAACCTGTGAGGCACGATTTACTATCTCTGATCCCATGTTGGTGGTGCCTTACAAAGTTATTTCCCTCCAGATGCTCTACGAGCCTTTTCCTCACGATCTTCTCCATCACCTTGCATGGTATACAAGTTGAGGAAACTGGCCTTTAGTTCAGTGTCTCTTGCCTGTCACCCTTCTTGTATATTGGGACCACGTTAGCTGTCTTCCAACTTTTTGGTAAGTCTCCTGTTTCCAGTGACCTGTTATACACCATAGAGAGTGGCACACTTAGGGCTTCTGCCCCTTCCTTGAGTATCTATGGTGAGATTCTCTCAGGCCCAACAGCCTTTGTCACATCCAGCTCCAGCAGACACCTTTTGACCTCATCACTGGTGAGGTCAAATTCCTCCAAGGTTGCTTGGTTTGCCGCTGCCTCATTTAATGCAGGGGCTTCTCCTTGTTCTATTGTAAAGACCTCCTGGAATCTCTTGTTGAGTTCTTCATACACCTCCTTGTGTATGAAGGAGGTGTATGAAGAACACACCAGAAGAGGTGTATGAAGATACACACCTCCTCTGTGTATCTGTTCAGCCCTTTTTGCAGCTTCATCACTTGTTCCTTCACTGCTGTTTTCCTCCTTATGTGGCTGTGGAGCATCTTTGGTTGGTTCTTGGATATCTCGCGATGTCTTTTTCAAACTGTCTCTCTGCTTCCCTCCTCACTCTGAGGTACTCATTTCTGGCCCTCTGGTATCTCTCCCTGCTCTCCGATGTCCTATAATTTCTGTAGTTTCTCCATGTTCTTTTACTCAGTTGCTTCGCTACCTTGCATTCCTGGTTGAACCATGGGTTTTTCTGTTGTTTTTCGTTTTTCTCCTTTTGGACGGGGATAAACCAGTCTGCAGCTTCCTGGCACTTCTGGGTGACAAAATCCATTATGACCTGCACATTCTTGTCTCTAAGTTATGTTTCCCATAGTATTCCCCTGAGGAAGTTCCTCATCTTGTCATATTTTCCTCTTCAGTAATTTAGTCTTTTTCCCTCCGATCCCATCCTTGGATAGGTTATCCCTACCTCCACCAAGTACTTAAAAGTCAGTACACTGTGGTCAATCATTCCTATGGGGACTTCAACTTTGATTTCCCTTATTTCTGACTCATTCAGGGTGAATATCAAGTCGAGTCTAGCTGGTTCATCATTGCCTCTCACTCTTGTGGGTTCATTGACATGCTGGCTCAGAAACTTCCTTGTTGCCACTTCCAGGTGTTTAGCTCTCCGTGTATCTGCACCACCATGTGGATCCCCATTCTCCCAGGCTATCTTTCCACGGTTGAAATCGCCAATGATTAAGAGTCTTGAGCCATTCCTGCAGGCAACTGAAGCTGCTCTCACTATTATATTAATGGTTGGCATGTTGTTCCTATCAAACTCCTGTCTAGGTCTTCTGTCATTTAAGGGAGGGTTGAAAATGACTGCCACTATTAGCTTAGGTCCACCCATTGTTATAGTTCCTGTTATGTAATCTCTGAACCCGTCACAGTTCAGAATTTCGATCTCATCAAAATTCCAGTCCTTCCTTTTCAGCAGGGCCACTTTTCCACCTCCTCTCCCTTCCCTCTCTTTCCTTACTATATAGTTGTCCTTTGGAAACACAGCATCTGTTATGACTCCTCACAATTTTGTTTCCGTGAGTCCTATTACATCAGGGTTTTCTTCTTGCACCCTTTCTGCCAGTTCACTTGCTTTATTGGTAATTCCATCAATGTTTGAGTATATTACCTTGAAGCTCACTTTCTTATATCCAATTTCACCCTCACTCCCCACAAGTGTAGGAAGTTGTTCCCTGGTCATTGCTACTTGGGCAGGCTCATCCTCCTGTGAGGTAGTTGCCAGGGGTTCAGGGGGAGTTGTAGTGGGGGATGGAGGGCTTAGGTCTTGCTCAGGCCTGCTTGGGGCAGGAATAAGTCCTGGGGGATGAGGGGAGCAGGGACTGCTTGGGGAAAGGGCACGCCTTCCTGCGGTGTAGTTGACAGGGGTTTGGGGGAGGTGGAGTGGAGGATAGAGGGATTTGGTCTTGCTCAGGCCTGCTTGGGGCAGGAAAAAGACTAGGGGCTGGGAACGCAGGGGATACTTGGGGTAAGGGGAAGGGGGAGGATTTGGGTTTCATGATGGGCATTGTGCAGGGGCAAGGAAGGGTTTGTGCTGGGAGGTAGGGGGTAGGGGGATAGGGGGGCCCTATTGGGTGGTGGGCTGGGGTGTTGCATTCCCCCCCTGGTGTTCCTGAGTTGCTGGATTGGGGTTCACCACTCCACTCTGGGATTGCTGGGTTGAAGGCTGAGGTTCCCTGGCTCCCTTCCCTCTCCCTGCACTTTTCCCTTGCATCAGCTGCCCTTACTATCTCGTCCCTGGTCATGTCCCTCTGAAGATATACCTCTTTGTAATTCCTTGCATATCTCAGTTTGCTCTTCATTACTAGGATATCCTCTTTGACGACTTTGCTCTTGAATACTACCTAGATTACTCTCTTTTTTTCTTTGTTATACTGGTTAATCTGGAAAAACTGCGCTATGTCTCGTTCAGCCCCTTCCAATCCTATCTCCTTTAATATCCTTCCACTGCAGCTTTGTCTTTAGTCCTCGATTCCTCCCTCGTGGAGCCCTCTTGTTCCTTCATACCTACCACTACTACAAATCTTTTCCTTTCCATTAGTTGGCTTGTGCATCTAGCTGCCTCCTGTGAGGTTACTGCTTTCATTACAACTTCCTTGACTGTGGACATTGCTCCTGGGTTCTTCAGCATTTCAGTAAAGGTTAGACCAATTGTAAGGGTCCCTGCCATTGCTACACCTCCTGGTACCTGGGGGTTAGTTGCATGGGCCAGAGTCTGATGAGGGCCTGTATTTAG